GGGGGAGAGGGGGTGGAGAGAGGGAGAGGTGGGCAGTTGATAGGTGGGTTCCTAGTAAGCAGCCTTGCTTGCTGCATGCTGCAGACCGCCGGCGGGCGAATGGCACCAGCGCGCGGCTTGCGATTGCACTGTGAGACGATGCATCCCTGGTTCGTTGCTGCAGGTCCAGGCAGCCCTGCCCGTGGCACAAAACTTTCACTTGCAGGGATCGAACCTGCAACACGAATCTCTTGAGATCACACACAGCATCCTGACACCCCTGAAAACACACCTGGGCCTGGGGCGATGCGAAGGTCACTTGCGAGGCCGGGGTGGTGTCGTCCGCGTGCTGCGGCTGCTGCACGCCGAACGGCGGGCCGGCCGACCCGGGCGCGTCCACGGTGGCGCCGCTGGTGCCAGGGCTTGCGAAGGTGAAACGGGCGTCGACGGGGGACTGCGAGGGGTGGGAGAGGGTGGGCGAGGAGGGGGGAGGGGGAGGCGTGTGAGTGTCAAACAAGTGCGGCGATGCGCTGGGCACGAGAGGGGGGTGCTGGGGCGCTGGGGGAGGCGAGCTGCTTGACATGGACCAATATCCTGAGTTGCTGCTGCAGCGTAGATGCTTCAGGGTGCATGCGAGCTGTGCGCGCATGCATGCATGCACGCATGCGCAGTCGAGTCGGTGACATGAAGGAGGAGGTATGACATCACCGTCCAGGTCAGCGCCGCTGGCCCGAGCCTGCCCGCACAAGCACGGGTGGGACAATGCAAAAGCCAGCAAATTGACGACGACATGCGGCGTTAAGCATGCTGCTGGAGACTACGACACATGATACTGCGGCCCACCTGGGTGCTGCCCGCGAGGCGGGTATCGGACGCCCTGTCGGCGCCAGAGGAGGGGGCGTCGTTGTCTTGGGATCCCAGGATGTTCATGAGCTTGCCCTTGACCCTCTCAGTCAAAGGGGCCTTCTGCGGGGCCTGGTCGCGGCCGCTCGCCCGCTGGGTGTCGGCCATGGGTGCAGACGGTGGGGAGTCGGTGCTGGTGTTGGGGGGCTGAGCCCTGTCAGGTCGTTTCAGTCGCAATAAGGTTGACTTTTCTCAGCTTTGTCTGAGCGATCGAACTATGCGTCCGCTTCATATGGGTCGGAAAGCGACGGGCCTCGAATGAGTGAGGGCAGCTGCTCGTCATGACAGGACCGTTTGGTGCAGACACTACCATTCACCATTGCGAACCGCTGTTGCAAGCTCGAAGTTGCAACGCTCTTCAGGCCTCTGCGGTCGATCTTGCACTTTGTGCAGTACTTGACGCACTGATCGATCCCGATAGCAGTCAATCACCGCCGGTGCCGCCATGCGTGCGCTCGCTACAACT